ATAATTGCCTAAAATTGCAGAGAAACGGAACAAAAACTTACAATCTCATCGTGAATAAAGTGGAGGTCATTTTTAGCTCCACCTTAATTTTTTTGAATATTGTGCAAATTATAAATAAATGGTTAATTCTGGCTAATTTTATTAACCACATATTTATCCCAATCGATTAATGATTTTTTTTAATAAAAACATTTAAATGAGAAGAATCCAATGTTTCTTAACCCATCCAGTCAAGTTAGTTCATGTCATTTCGTGTCCATCAACCTAAATAATTTCCTGTGGTGATCACAAACTTTTCGTATATGTTCATGTACTTACCATTTTTATTTTGCGATGTTTTTTTTTAAATTTCGAGGTACTGGACATGTATTTTCCTCCTTAACGATTTTAATTTCAAACGATCGCTAGCACCACAGACCATTCTAAATATTCGAGAATGTTGAAACTTGATTGACTAAACCTCATTTATCAAGGCTTTTAACCAGGATTTTTTTATCGAAGTGAAATTTCGCTAAATTTCTCAATGTTGACCTTAAAGGTTTTGTATTTCCTTTGCTAGAATTCACATGAAGATCAGGCTTTATGCATACTTTCATCTTCGTTTAAGTTTCTACATAAGAGTACATTTCACTAATGTTATCTTCAAAGCAGTATTTTGGAAGCAGTCAGTTTTGTGGAGCTTAATAACATTTATATATTTATTACCAACCGTGCCAGTCCCTACCTACAAATGTATTCACCTTATTTGTGTCAAAGTCAATTTTTTACCTATAATAAACAACTTTTAACTTCGTTCCGCAGGTAGTAAAGGTTAAACTTGAGCTACTTGCCGTCAGTTACGTGCCTGTTGGATCAAATTAAGCATATATTAATGGCTGCAGTCATTAAAATTAACTTATTTTAATTCAAAACCAAGAATGCCACATATTTGTGATCTTTCTTGTAACAACACCAATCAAATGCTGATGTTGCTTCAGTTTGTCAGATTAATTTGCAACAGATCGAAACTTTGTTTTGCATAAAATACCACGCTAGACTCCTCACATTTCTCTATTTATATTTCTCAGTAAAATGTTTTTCTTCGTTATTAGGTCTAAGACACAAGATACTTTAAAGTGGTTCTGCATCCATTAAATGTACTTTTTCAGTTGCAGTCAAAATGTGCAATTGTGGTTTTAGCCGTCAACCAAAATAGTTTGTATTTCAAAATTAGCCTACCACTTACTTGAAGCACGTGGGAACAAAATCATTTTAAACTTTTGGTTCGGCAACTGTTACAAAAACAGGACTATCAGACTACTTCCAAAATATTTCAGTTTACAGAATGTAGGTGCTTAGTAGGTTTGCTAACTTGAAATGACAGTAACAGAAATTATGATTCATGAATAAGTTAACTTAATCTAATTATGGACACACTGAATCCTCCTTAAAGTCGAATTATCCATCTATGATTAGAATTTTTCGTCCCCTTGTTTGTGCCTCTTTTCAGTGTGTCGATCCTAAAAGCAAATTGTGATGAAACTGTATCTAGGTTTGACGAACTCTCTCACTTCTTTGTTTAATGCGCAAAAAACTAAAACGGAAATAATTTTTTCATTCATCATGGGTATTTGTACTACTCACTGAGTGTTAAGTAGGCATACATATATATTTAAACTCATAACTGCAAACTTCGGGTGTTAGAATGCAGATTATCGAAGAACCAGCTTGGGGGCTCAATTTACTTCCAAAATTATTTGCCGTGGGGCACTGTCCAATGGGTGATAGAAATTCAGATGACCGCCCAACCAGCTCTTTATACCACTAAAATAAACAAAACGGTGGCAAATGATCAGTTACACCGCATTGAAGACTTTCTAATGCGAAAACCTATTGTTCTACATGACTGTTGGCCCAGGATGCAAGTAAATTCGGTGAACAGACTTACGTAGGCCAGAAATTTTGCGCTAGCAAAGGGATGCTGTGATGCCGAGGATCTAACTGGTAATCTTATAAAAATGTTTCTTCTGCGGAAGAATTTTTCCTTTTTATGCGTTGTCTCGTAACACGTCAATAGATGCTAAAACAATGATCACTGGCCATAGTTTAATCCAAAAGTATGAGGTATTTAAGGGTTCTTGTGACAAAATTTTTGATTGGAGCAGGAAACCATTGTAATCTAAGTCTATTTATCGTGATGGTTAGGTCTTAAGTTTGTAACTAAAGCATGTGGTCAATCATTACAACAAGGCGCAAATTTTCTGTCAAAGCTTAATGCTACTTGTTAAGTACCGCACTATTTGATTCTGACTTAAATTTACGTAAATCACACTGCTTCACTTAAGTAAAGATTTCCTGGTTTTATGATTTGTTAAACTACCCAGCCAATAATCACACGCTATTATCACAGTCATCCAATAGATTGGTTGCATTGGGCAACATTCTGATTGAACCAATGGTATTTGTCACTTCACTCCCCATACGCACAGAATAAACAATCAAAATGCACATCTAGCCACCACATTGAGCCTGGTAACGGCGAGGCTTTAATAATTTGCTCGCTAGTATTAACACGAGCCAGGGTGGTGTTCTACCCAACATCCTGGCCATTCTTTTGGTCGAGACGCCACATCTGTAATAGTTTAACTGGAACCACGATCGTATTATTACTCTACTCATGACAGCACTATGGTCGTTTGCTATGGTAGAATTTTGTGTAGAACGGTAAATTTCTTTAAATATGGGCTTAATCTGCAAAGATTGGCGTTTGGTTGGTCGCACTTAGGTTAAGAAAATTAGGTGGGACTGCATGTTACAACACGGTGGCCGTCGATTAAATAAGGCAAGCGTTCGGTGGTGACGTTCGTGTTACTAGCTTTTCACTACTAATAAGAAAGACCGGTAACATGAAATAAACCAACAGCCTGTGCTCTCAGACCTGGTGAGGGGGACTGAGGTGAGGTGAAATATCATTGTGACGTGAACCTTGCGATCTGCTTTGCCAGTTTGCTTGTGATTTACATAGCACTGGAACTTCAGTCTATTCGTCAGCCTTATTGCAGGGAAGTAATTCTGTCCATCTGACCTAATTGTAAACATATTTGTAAATTTTGAAAGGAAGCCCGCGCGGTGCCTTGCAGCGCAACCAAAATCTCGCCAGTGAGGAATCGGTGTGTTGGGTGATGACCTTCGTGCTTTCTTTTTGTCGACGCAATTTCCTGAAAACTCATTGCTTGCTTTGAGGGTTAAAAATTAAACGGCATACCCACGTAGCCAATCTGGTCTCAAACTCCAAACAAAACCTTGATCTTTGCGGCAATAAATGATATCGGATTAGAGTTAAAGTGCATGCACTATTAACTCATACTCGTAATTAGTTAGTTCTTTGGATTCTGGTTATTCAAAAACACGCTAAACAATCAATGTTTCTGGTAGTAATTTAGACAAATTGTTTCGAAATATATCTTGCACTTGATGAGATTATGATTTTACGCTTGCGTTTTAAGTGGGTATACTGTTATTGGGTGTGCGACTTTAGTGGCGCCGCCATTACCTACATAAAGCGTATTGATTATATATCCAAATGGAGATTATCACTGAAACTAAATCCGAAGTGTATCCTTGTTGACCAGATTTTAATTTCGTCCTCAGATATCAATCGCAGCTAAATTTTTCGACTTTTCAGCAATTCCAGTGGTAGCCTCCTAGAAATTTTGGTCTTTTATGTTCTACTTTCTACACAAAATGAGGATCACTAAGTGTTTGACGCAGTTAGATTTATCTTCCACCACAGAGGTGGGTTGAATACTAAGGACACTGCTGAGAGTCACGGTTGAGGGATCTCAGCATTCGAAACTTTCTTGTTGGAACACTGGATGACGGCGACGACAAAGCACATACAGGACTTCGACCCCAAAACCTTTTGTGCTTTAAATGACTGAATAGCTGGGAAGTCACCATGGAACATGACACACCTTTCCTTGGCTTTTATTCAACTCAAGCCATGCCTTTTTCACTCTTTTTCCTTCTCGTTTTCAGTGTGCTCCCACTGCTGCTTATTAGCCACAAATAGCGAAGAGGAAATGAAGGATTTCTTTCGTGAATTGGTCACGAGCTCCACCCCACTCGGCTCCCTTGGGGTGAGTTTGGCTTGGAGGGGGAAACAAAAAAATGACAAATAATTCCCCCACGGCTACTTCAATGATTCTACGTAGACCCGCATTATTTCGAAAATGAGCTTTGCACCGTCTTCAAATCAAATCAACCCCACCAAAGTGTGCACGTAACTCTGAAAGGTTATTTTATTGAAATTAGTGACTGGTCTGTATAGTCATTCTGATGGGTCTCAAACCTGAATTGTTGTGGCAGCACTGGAGTACAATGAAGAGAAATGAAATTGAAAACTGAGCCACAACTACGTTTTCTAACCTAATACAAACGACTCGGCTTTGAACAATATTTGGCTGTGTTATGAGATGACATTTATTGAAAATGGTCAACGATGATGGCAGTAGGTTTTACATTTTGGAGCATCTTCGGTTAAAATGAAACGGTTTAGTTAGAGCACTTTGGGGCCTATCGCACCTTTCATAGACTAAGACAGACCCTGATCCGTTCAGCGTAGGCGATTCCATCAAGTGTTTTCATTCCACGCATCACTGCATCAGATGCCGACGCCAGTCCCCTACCTGTTTCTCTTGTGGCAGTTTCAGGTGAAAAAAAAACGCGAATTCATTTGGCAGATCAAGCGTGAAAGTGGTGTCAAACTATGGGGGGGGGAATGGTGTCGACGGGTGGGTGAGGGAGGATGCGATGGGGCACGACAGGCAAGTCACCGCGGGTCACAAGCCCGTGACCCCAAAGATAAATTATCAGCCGACTGTCTGTGGGAAGGCCACCTAAATTTTTACCACGAAAAAATGCAAGTCACACAAAAGCAGTCTACTGCTTGTGCATACCTAATCTTTAAAGTGCTTCCTGTGAGAAGGCAACATTTTCTTGACTTAAACATGATATGCATAATATCAAGTCGATGATGGTGATCGTCATCACATTTCGGGTGATGATGACGCGGCACTACCCCGATCGAGCATAGATCAGCTGCATAAATTCGCTGGACCACATGACTACCTGCATTTTTAGTTGGTTCAATGGAAACGATAATTCTGGTCCGTGTAAGATGAATCGGTGCAGAGTTTGGGTCAAACGTTTGTGTCTTCAAACAATGCAACTTGTTCCACTAAGCAATCGGGAAATCCCACTCTGAGGTCCCACTCTTCCACCATGACAAAATTAAACCGTCCGTTTCTATGGTGACTTTAGGACCTTATGCATCCTGAGGTTATTCTCTTAGTAGATTTACGCAAATTTATCTCAACTATGTAAAGTTACTATACTTAAGATCTTACTAAAAGCCATATTGGAACATCTACAAGAGTTCGTCTACAAAATATTGAAAAGATCAAAGTAGACTGGGTTATAAATGTTGATAATAAGAGCTTTAGAAAGTTGTCTATTAGTTTTAAATGTTTGGAATGCTTTTACGATCATTGGCTCATTTTTAATTGAACTCCACCCTTTCTTGAAGAAAAAAATAATCGTGAGTGTAGTTGCATTCGTTATTTGCTGGCTTAGCGAGTATGTACACACCAAACGAACTACCAGGAGCATTCCAGAACTCCTGTGGAAGGCTGATCTGCAGCTCCACCTTCTGACTTGACTGGAGGAAGATGTGTTGATTGTTGCGTGTGGCTGTGCTGGAAGTGGTGGTGGTGGTGGCGGAAGTTATCGCGGTGCGTAACGATTGCATGCTCCGTGTGAGACCCGAAGAAGGCAGAACCTCGAGAAAAACGATCTTCCGCCAGTTGGACGTAGGAGTCACGCAATGGACTCACTGTGACCTTATCTAGCGTACATCCCAAATCCGAAATGCACATTGATTGCTCATCTAAACGAAACCAGCAGAATTAAGTGACACATAGTCCCTCTTTTGTACTAGGTTAAGCTGACTGTCACTGAGGCAGCTAAAGTTGGGGCTTTGGCCTAATCTAACTTGACATAGTCCATTCTAAGGATATTTTTTTCATTATATTCGTCTAAACTTACAATTTATAAAAAAAGCAGGGAGCGCATTGTGCTCGAGCCTCCTCGCGTTTACTCTAAATACTAGTTATTTCAATGAGCTGTAATCAGCACCGTTTGCTTCACATATAGTGCAGCGCTGTTTTAGGACAGAGTTAAGAAACCTTCACCCGCTTTTGTATTCCTAGTATCTCTCGAATGGAAATCTACATTGCTCAAAATCCACACTCGGTTACTGCCATTTTGAAGGGGGAAATCGCTTTCGCCTTCTTTCACTTACTTCCATGAGATGGAAGGCTACCTATGCGTCAAGTTCGGCCTCCAACCCAAGAGCTCTTATCAATGCTTTTATTTCGCTGAACGGTGGCACGAAATGGAGTGTCGTCGAGATTTGATCTGAGTCCATGACTCATTCAAGAAGATTCGGTTGAATTCAGGTGAGTTTTTCAGGTTGCTTATCTAACTGTCACAGACCACAGCCACATGCATTAGGAGCAAATACACCGAAGAGAAATAACGCCACCAACGCTAATCGACTTTCATCGATTAAAGGGGTAAGTTAAGGGTTGGTTTAACACCAACAGAAACTACTCTGTTCGAATGAAAGTTGGGATATGTAAGAACTAGAACTGGAGAAACATAGTATCCACTAATTGCAGGGCCAGTTACTTGACAAAGTAAATCTAAATCGACATCGCTTTTGCCACCCCGAGGTCAAACACACATTTCTTCACAGACCAGTTTTCCAACAATGGCAACTGTTTTCGAGGTCGGGAGGAACAAAGTACTGAAGTGACGTAGGAGAGAAACGTGTATATTTACATTGCCAAAATCAGCGTATATTGATACTGTCTGATCTGTCAAAATACACATGAACACGTTGGTTTACCCATCAGTCAGAAGCAATCGACATACGAGCAAACTCAGAGCTAATTATTAAATGCATGGCAAAATTTTTCTCGCCTTATGGCCGGTTTGGGATTGTGAACTTGATAGGTTTGTCCTTTTTCGAGCTAGTTAACGGTTCGGCGCAGATTGCTGGCAAGAAATTCAAGATGAATAAACCCTCTAGGAAAACGCAAGTGCCTGTGTATGACTTTGCACATGGAATTTCTTCTCCCACCGACTAATGAAGCGTTATGCCTTCTCGTCCTCCGCCACCTCATCTGCCAAATGAATACCCCAGAGGATGATCGCAAGGATATTCACTTTTCTCTAGCCCGCGTCCTCCTCTGCCTTACAGACGGGTGATTTCCACTACCCGCCCCCACACTCTCTCCGTCCCGCAATGGCTTGAAAAGGCAAAAAACAAAACAACACCAGCCACTCTACTCAGGTTTCACAAAGACGCAATAGCGGAATTATGGCCCAGTCATCTTAAATGACTGCTTCTGCTTGCTTGGATGTGGCCATAGCTTAAAGCTCGTACGCCCTACACTACACCTACCATCAAGAGCCCATGACGCACGGGGTGATAAGTATTGGGTTATCTTACTTACTAAGTCGATCGTCAAATTGGTGATTTCGGAAACTATTTGTGAGTTCCCGCTCATTGGTTAATTGTGGTAGGAGGGGCTGTTCGGAAGGAAGAGAGACCTTTTTCATCACGTCGTCGTGAAGAGAGGAATAGGAGTCGAGTGAGTGTAGGAGGCCACCGCCCGAAAAGCAATTCGGATACCCCGATGGGGCTTGTGGTGGGGTCGGTGATGACCCGTAGGGGAACATCGAATGGTCCACAGGGAGTCCAGTGGCGGTCTCGGCTGTCATGGCGCTGTAAAATTCCTAGAAGTTAATTGGGGGGTGTTAGTTATTTGCACAAGCCTTTATCTCAAAAGATTTGTAAAGTCATTTCGATTTTTTGTGTAATTAGCTATCGGTGTTACGGGATAAAATGAGCCTCGAGAAAAACGCTGGAAAATTGTAAACGATGTAAATTGTAGTTTTCCAAAAGCGGGTCAATAAAATTAATTCAAAACACCGCAAAAATTCTGACCACAAAACGCCAAATGCAACCATTATTTTTACGCTTGAGTTGAATTTGATGAAGCTAATTTTGCCTGAAAATTACTATGGAAAAAGCGAAAGCGAGGTATATTTTGATAATTTGCCTACACAGGACATACCTGACCAGATTAAGATCAATAACGGATGTCAATTTCTTCTGATGGTCCACGTAGCCCTAATTGGGTTGCTGTGCTCATAAACACTATTGCCTAGGTCACTTGTTTATATGAAGGATTTTAAAGCACAAAGTGTGTTCGAGTTCTGGCGCCTGATTACAGTAGACAAAATAACATATTTGTCAATAAATTTGAAATATCCAAACAATTAAAATAAGCCAAAGCCCTTCATGTTTACACCAACCTCAATTCCAACAACTGCCACTGAAAAAGTAGTTACAACGACTCAGAAAAATAACAACCGGCAAAGGATTCGTGGTAGCTGTAAAAGGATAGGTTTGTGCAGTTTAAAAGCTGAAGTACTGTGGCAATAAAACTAAAATTTACTACAGCTGAGTATCGAAGGTTCTATCTTATGTGTGGGAAATAACTGGAAAAACTGCAAATATCGAAACTATTGACAAGATGTAATTTCAAAACAAAGTATTCGTGAACTTGACAGAGGAGATTAATGCAATTGTGGGAATGAAAGGAACTTGCTCGTTGAGCGTCGAGGCAGAGGAGGCTGGACTGATAGCCAGGGGGCATGTTGAGGAGTTCTGCAATCACCTCAGAGGGCAGGTCGTCAGGTGTGAAGCCCCCTGGATCTCGGAGGCCAGCACGCAAGCGCCGCGAGTGGTGCTGGAAGAAGGGTCTGCGCACGCCCAAGGCAGACAGCTGCTTCATTCGACGCTCCTTGCTACGACGATTCTGGAACCAAACCTGCACCATTTACAACAACACCACGCTTAACATAACATATTCAGAAGGTCAAAGTGAACGTTTTATCGCGCATTTCCTATCCCTGGATTTAAATTTCAATGTTTCTCTTGAATGCTTAGTTATGGAATGAGGACAGATTGATCCACTTTACAGGTTAGTTGGGACATTCTACTCTCTCATGTGACCGTGATTTATAAGATAAAAATTCCCCAATATCGAAAATTTGACATCACATCTAACGCAGTGTTGATGTAGCCGCGGTTTTCAGGATGCAATAGGATGAAAATGGTCCTCTGGGTAGAAATTATTAGATTTCAACCAGTGAGTGCACAATATATCATCATCGAATTACTCCAATGAAACCAAGTCTAGGATATTTTTGATGCCGAAATTGATGCTTTCGCAAAAGAACTCTGTTGGACTTCCTGCTCTATTTCTGTCACTTCGACAAACGCGAGCAAACGAGCAATTCGAGTATTTAATTGACAGGAGTGCTTATTTTTTTTAAAAACTACAAAGGGTAGTGTGTTTTGTAGTCACTTCGGCGTTATTTGGACGCAGACATGGATAGTAAATAAGTACTTAAATCGGACCTCGACTTGCAGCAAAAGGTAGGGATCTTCTGATTCAATCAGTAGCCCATGGCTTAAACTCTAAATGGGCCTATAAAAGTACGTCTTGGTTCTTTAACAAAAATTAAAGTCATTCAGTTAAAGTCATCCTGGGAATGTTCGAATTAAGTTGGAAACTTGATAAAAAGTTTTTAGATTCAACCGACAATCGGAGATAGTTCCGCGAATCATTCCGTGATGATAATGAACCACCACGTCTTAATTTGAATTAATGCTCTTTTTTGAAGATATGAGTCAGAAGATAGGAATATGATTTAACGTGAAATTGAAGGCACAGTTGAACCTTGTACAAGTTTTCTCTCGACAAAGTGACTAATTCAGGTAGCACATATTTTCCCAAGAACTGAAAGTGGTTGTGATGCCCAACTTTGAGTACTAAGTTTTCGTTTTCGTTCCATTAAATTTGCGACGAAATTATGGGCTGCTCTGTATAGTCGCATATCGTCAACCCATCTACCAGTAAACCACAAAATTTGTAGAATTAGTATAAAAGCCCTCTCATTGTAAAGTGAAGTTTTATGGGTGCTACACTTACACGTGTGACCACTTTTTAACGTACAATTACATGAACTAATTCCAAACACAGTTCACACAGTTGTACATATCTTTCAAAGTAATGGCAAAGTAGGTAGGTCAGGGGATTTGCGACTTAACTAATTAGCATGGGTTAACTGACAACCGGCGCTTCTGTCTGAGCACCCTTGTCTTTGCTCTTCCCGCTGCCAGCGATGAGAGCTTGAAGGGAAACCTGCCTTTTTTTTACATCAACATCTGCCCTCCACAAAAGCCGGGGGAGCCTCATAATCCGGCCTTTAATAGAGGCGGGGTGGCGGTTGGAGCAAGGGCTAGAAGAGCCGGGGGGATTAGAGGCGAGGAGACGGTGGGAGAGGGGGGTGGGGCTGAGCGATCAGTGGTCCCGTGGACAGTTGTGGAGGGGATTAAGCGACTGCTGTGAGGTCTGTTGAGAAGTCTCAAATCCTGAGATTATCGCTTTTGCTGGCAGCAGAGGGACCGTGTGCCTTCTGCTATACGAACACCGAACTAGTTACAATCACACGCAGCTTGGAACCCAATGCCGCATTAATTTCGCAAACTCTTTAAGGACGTTGTGATTTTTTCACCGTACACAAATTGAAGCCCAGAGAGAATTACCTTTTTTTCTGATGAAAGTTGAAAATTGAAAAAGCCAGAAAAGGGCATTTAACTAAGCCTTTATTTTGACGAATCCGTTAGTTTTAAATGGAGACGGTACGTGATGATCAAAAGTGCAAATCAACAAGAACCTGAGCGGAAGTGTCTGGGACGATGGTGTCGTTTAATTCAAGCATTTATTGAAACAAACTAGTTTAGAAGGAAAATGGAAGCCAAAATAGGATTATTTAAACACTTAATTGGTAGCTGGCGAAAAGAGTCGAACAGAAACAACTCGCACCAAAAATTATTATGATCCCAGTTAGAAAGCCATTTACTTAATGTTAAACCGCCTGCTACATTTATGGAAATTTTATCACTATGAATGCACTGGTGTGAAAATTAAGCAATACAATGTAATCAAACGATAGAATTTACTTCGAATAACGCCAGAACGCATGCGACTGGTGACTGGTAACGACTGCAGCTGGTCAACATATACAGTAAAATAAAAAAAAAATTTCTAGCAGCTGAAAGCCACAAAGAACGACCCAAATAATAGTGCTACTTGTTGTTAGAAGCGCTAAGAGAGTTGATGCGAAATAATTAGGGACTTGCTCGAGAAAACCGCATAAGATTAGTTCGTGATTAAAATAAACCAAACCGAATCCGACATCCTATTCTCAAAAATCCCTCAACTTGTAGATAAGGGGTTTCTAGGGATTCGAGTGCAAATCACTGACATGAAATTCCCTTTGTATGGAAACATGAAAAAGAGGTTTCTCTGGGGAACATTACATGTGTACGTACTAACAGGTTAACGATTTGGAAGGTTATTGAGTTGTCTCTCGTCATTCTTGAAAAGGCAGACAACGTAGGAGTCGTAAATTTGTTCTCCGCCAGGCGAGTTAAAAGCAGCAAAGTACTCCAAGTGTCTGTGTACTTGCAACATGACGCCCCTTTACACAGGTAGCACTTAACCATTGACTATGTCTATACATCCACGAAATTACGTGCGATAAGAATCAGTCTTCTGTTTTTACCTCACAGAGTTTGATGAAATTTTCTTTAAATCTCTCTGGAAGTTCGAGCACTCAGGGAATCCAGGCGGACAGAAAAGGAAAACGTAAATCTATTATTAAATTAGTTCTTTAGTTCACCTCTTCATGACTGTTGATATTAGAAATTGAAGGGAAGAACTTACGTTCCTGACTAATTGCTCTTGATAAGGTAGATTATATAACACATCAGTGAGTAGTTTTTGGGATGGGAGAGTGCACGAAAGGTCATTTCGATAAGGGGAGCATTCGATTGAACTACCAGATGCCTTTGGGAGGCAAATGCTCTCATCAAGTGACTCTCGCTCGCAAAGGTGCATAAAAACGTCTATCCATCACCTGACCCATCGGCTGCAACCCCTCGTCACCTCGGGGTGCGCAATCAACAACCGCACTGACCGAGTCTCACTGATCACTTCTGTGGATTCGGGGACAGGCAAAGCGGACTCGAGTGGAGTGCTCGTATACTCTTCACATGAAACTGGCCAGGCGTCAGCAACGCTCCCTGGGGAATGCGTTTACCAAACACCCGCAACAATCGCCTTGGATACAAAAGAATGAGTCCTCTCAGCTCTCTCCCTCTCTCTCTCTGTCCGTGGTTAATTGGAACAAGTCAAAACACGGAATGGGAAGGTGGATCTGCCCATTGGCAGATTATGCTGACAGAGAATAACATGCATGAAAGTGTGATGTGGCTATTACGCGGAATTCCTCACTGCAGAAAAAAGAAGCCTGGAAACAATTGTTCTTTCCACATTGAAAACCCAACCACTTCTATACCGTTCGCAATTTGTGGCATTGACGCTGGCTGTAATCCCACGTCTTCAAACAAATCATCCAGCATTGTGGATGTTCACAACCAAAGAAATTGCCACAAGATTGCATTTTGATGTGTTCAAGATATGTTGACCATTACGCATAACGCTGCTAATTAGCAAAGATGTAAAATTATGGAAAGGCACAAAGATTCCTATGAGGAAACAGAGCATGCTATTTCGATGGTCAGTCCGGTGTCACGAGGGGTGAAATTTAGGTGAGTATCGCCAGATGTGGACCAAACATGCTGTTTACAAGTTCCTTCTGATCTGTTGCGTTGCTCATTAAGAATTTTGATCGATTTCATTGATCGATAGATTCTTGCCTACAGTGCCTGCGTGCGCCCGATGTCCAGACCACCGTACTGGCCTTTCACATGCCACCTTCGAAGCGTGCCTTCAGAAACCGCATCGACTTCACACACGCACACCGCCTCGCATGCTCCCTGACCCGTGCTGAAGTAGGAGAGATAACGCTGGGAATTTGACTACTCATCTCCTTCAAGTGACCACACTTTCCAAACACGCGACTGTTGTCTCCTTTCAGACTGAAGTCAGGGGCTCCCTCTATCAGTGTCAATTTAACATTTGTCAATCCGTGCGAGCAGTGCATAAGTATTTTGTTAACTGCACTATTTGCCTCAGCTAATGATGGAACACACAGTCAGTTTTTGTTCAGCTCGCTTACGACGACCTGTCTAGACGCGAAGGAGAAGGGGGAAGATACTCGAGGCCTTCCTGAGTTCAGTGAAGCGATAAATTGCAAATGGTAGAACACCTGGCGCAGAGGTGATAAGGGGAGATTCGTGATCTTTGCGATGGTGAACGAAAAGGCAACCGAATTAATTGAATAAGGAACACAACAATAAGTCATAAAATTAATTTTTGCTAATTTAATGTCACTGTACCTTCAAGGGCTTTTTGTTTAAGACACAGTTTCTTTCTCGGTAAATCAACACAGAACTACTCGTTTACCATTTCATATCTCAGAATGTTGACTGATATTTGGCAGAAGGTGTGCATCCACGCCTCCACCCGAGTCTGAATGCAATCAGGACGCTTTCTGGGTTTACCCGAATGTCGTTGAATGCAAACTGGGGCCTCGTGAGTGCATCGTCGTTTGCACCCTAATTCTAGACGTTCGCCGCGATGACAGCTCATCCGAAAAACTTTCCATCTTTGACCTCTAACCGCCTGTCTTTTAATTTCACTCCCGTCATTACCAGAGCACGCCTTGGCGATTGACCAGTGTCAATGCGTCCTCTGCTTTGCCATTCAAGTAGGTTAAATAAGTTGGTGCTAGCCTGAATTTTAAAACGGAAATTCTTCACCCCAAGGAAACTGATCATAGTGAACATTAATATAAAATTAATCTGTCCCAGTAATCTACTTCATATTTAACTAACTGCCTTTTACTTCCCGATTGTTAGAGTACGAACTAGGAGCACATTACTCTAGTTGGAGGAGGAATAAATAGAGACATAATAAGGAACAAGCAGGTAGATTTTAATTTTGGCGTCGGAAAATCGAATAATGCGCCTTCAAGTGGCGTGTAGTGAGGGTGTTTGCTGTTTCAACAAGGGCCAAACAAGGCGGGGACAGCGGACAACATAGCCGATCTGGTTTAACATCCGGGTGCATCCGAATCAGCGTTTTGGTGATAACGGCTGAGGGCTGGGTGTTTCGGTTCTGACTGCTTCTGCAGCATTGACAACACGGCAGTCGAGAATGATAAAACACTTTGGGCTATAAAGCAGCTATGGTTCCAAGCCGTCATCACAAATATGTTTAAGAGCACGGGGATGAAGACATGCAGGAATCTTACACAGTGAAGCCTACAACAGAATAAAACAGATTCTCCGACAGCTGTTACTCCGTTAAGTTGCGCAAATTAAGTCATAATAAAGGAAATCTTGCTAACCTACATTGACCGAATAGACATTTAAAAACCAAACTAGATCCCTTTAATTAAGGCAAATTAACCTGTGAATCCTGATAAATGAAGCAATTTTGAAATGCGTTAAGGGCTCAGATTGGTGTGCACATTGCACACTGAGCAAAAGTCTCCCATTCCATTTCAAAGGAAGTTGCGACACCTGCAAAATGCATTTCGTTCAGGTTGGTGAGCACTGTTTCTTTCTGTTTCTCATCCTGTGTAAACTAAGTCCAGCTACCTTGTAGCCCCCTTGTTCAACTTTTACAACGCATGCCCACTGTAGGATTAGTGAAAATCTGTCGTTTTTGTCTGAATTTCTAATGACAATATGTTCACGAGTACAGGAAGGCGCAGTAGTTTTAGTTGAGTCCCAGGTATTGTAAATCCGTGTTGAACATGCATTGAAAGATCTTCTTATAACCGACGTACTCAACGCATGAAGTTACCGCCAGTTCTTGTATTGGAGGCTATGATGAGCCACATTGCAAATCAGAGAGACAACTGCTTGGCATTTTGTTTGCTCACCCGATCCCAGCTTTATAGACATCAAAAGCTCTCCAAAGTGGTGAGGTCAGGAGAAAGAAATGTTGTACGTTAACGACTCTTCCATTATGGGATCTGCTTTGGAAAACCTATTGCAGAATCGGGAATGAGTCTACGACACTTTAATGTTGGACTCTGTACATTTGCTGACCCCCTAAACCCCATCTCGACTTCCATCGCCAGGGGAAATCACTTTGTCTATGCTCGCATTGACTTCAAAATTTAGCATTGTCAGCGCTATAATTCACTACAATTAGCTCAACCAAGAAACGGTTTCGTAATTAAATGTAACTTTACTAGTGTCACAAATGAGGGAATTAGATGGAAAATTAATTTCTGCCAGAGCGGCAACACCCTCACCTCCAATCCCTCGCCTAGGAGTTACGTTGCATAAATCAACCAATCGGAACTCGGACTGTTGCAGGTACGTGATTGGTCCCCCTGTGCGCGCTTAGTGTATGTCTACCCAGTGATTCCCCGATAAGATCTAGGTCTTATCGGCACAAAAAGCCACCCACAAATCCGTTTGAAACGCCAAACATGACACAACCGATGGCAGGTGGCGTCATCAATAGATGCTTTGGTTGCGACCGCCCAATCATGGACAGGTATTACCCCTGTGTTGATGACAGGACTTGGCACCAGGACTGCCTTCGATGTGTAGTCTGTCGAGCACAGCTCTTTGGTCGGTGCTACGCACGAAATGGACGGTACTTTTGCCGAAATGACTTTATCCGGTAAGTTCAATCAACCCGTGAAACACCTTCTTCAATAATGACTTCAACATTGTGTGTTGGGAATTCGCAAAATGGCACAAGAACAGCCTTAGTGAAGACACGATTTCAGGACTGTCGAACCCCTAAGTATCAACATCGACCGTTTTACACCCAGGTAAAGGGTTACGGCAAATACTATTAGTGATTAAGCTGGTGAATGGGATATTTCCCATCTCGAACCATTTGCACCTTTTCCTGCCAGCGCATAAATCTCTTTTAAAATGATCTACATTGTGAGGCACTCCATCATCCCTAACGATGTTTGGTATCGCCGAAATAATTTTATGTCCAGATCTGTAAGTTCGTGTTAATTGTGCAGATTGTAAGGACGATAATATCCAACGAAGAAGCTTGCATATTTAAAGTTGATATTTTGTGGCCTGCTGAATTCGAACGTCCTCTACAACTTGCTGATCTCGAAGATTCTGTGGCGTATTTTTGACATCTTCAACTATAAAAATAGTTAAATGTCCAATAAATGATTGTCTTTTTGTGGCAAAGTTCCGTATTGTCCGTCAGGACTATGCATTCTTTTCATTAAATGCCATTATAAAAAAACGAACCCAGGGTTAAAGGTATATGTGCTGCTAACACTTGGTAAAGCCTTATTGTGTGCCAGATGACTCTGACTCTTACCATTTTTTAATGTAAACAAGATTGAAAACAGTAAGTTTTCGAATTGGTGAATCGTAAATAGCCCGAAGTTGACTGCATTATAAGCAATAATTTGGACATCAAAGAGGCCCTCCCTGTGCCCACTGCTACACCGTGTCAACCGCCATGATCTGTTCTCGAATCAAGGGCATTGACTAAAACAAATACTCTAGAAGTGCTGATTTCACATGTTTCGGTTCCCTGACGTTCGACAGTAAATTGGCCATTTTGTAACTTGTACTACTGTCAGGACTCATGGAATTTAGCCAGATTTAGTGGAGCCTGGATAAAAAGTAGAAGGGTTGTGTGTGTATACACGTGTTGTTGACCTGTAGCCAGTCCATGGTCCTCGGTGAAGACGTAACAGCCACAAATAAACAAGACGCGTCGTTAGCCGAGCCGGCGATCCCGTCCACATCAAGGCGAAGTGCAACGGCGCCTATGATACTTTTTGTTATTTACACCAAACCTACACCAGTTTATACCCCTCGCCATCGACCAGAACGGCATGCAAGAAGCAGCTTCAGGCCGCTGGGTTTAGTGGTTGAACTCAAACCGGGTGGGACGGAGAGCAGGTATCAGCCACACCACATCCAACCAGGGCAGGGTGACAATAGTTGCAAGTGAATGTGGTCTCTTTCAAATCTTACGTGCTTAACTTTAATGCACAGCTAGAAGGAGAGATCAGTCCTTGAAAGAAATTACCCGCATAAGCGAAGGATGATTTCTGTTGTTTTGACCTCGTAACTTGTTCGCCCAGGGAACATCAGACTTTCCCCTGTTCTAGAATGTTTAGCCCACGATGCCCAACATGTACGGAGGCCATCCTACCGACTGATATGGTGCGTCTGTTGGGTTCCATAGCCTACCATGCCGACTGCTTCCTCTGCATCCTCTGTTCACGTCGCCTAGCAACCGGAGACGAGTGTCGACTCATCGGCGACGGCGTGAGATTTATTTGCCTCGAGCACGAATCGTTACAGCAGGGGTTGGGGAATGGAGGAACTTCAAGGAGTCCGGAATGCTCAGATGGAACTTGTGAACGAGACGAGGCAAAACATAAAGGTTAGATTTCAGTAATGTCGCCTTGCTTGGACGGAATTCCGTTCACGGGATCTGGTGATTTCCCAACCGAAGTCAGCCGTGGAAGGACGTTGAATGTAGGATAGAACTTTCCCAAACACGCTCTATTCATCTTTACAAATCTTAATACTATTAGTGCCCATGTTACCCACAGTATCTGTGGACTCTTCACGAAGGCACCACTACTTGTTGATACTCCTTGTGTTTTTGCTGACACGGTTCAGGCAACTTTCTCGACATGTGGCTTAACAGCGCTATGCCAGGTCGAAGTATTCCCCGATGAACATGAACATGTCAACTCATACCACGAGCTCCTCTGATTCGTTTATCCCTGTCATTCCACTTCCCATTAGCACACTTGATGATGCCTTCCAGCTTTGAGTATAAGGGGCTTTAATTCCCACCCAGTCATTTGTGCACTCGACAAAATGCGAGGATTCAAAGTTAATTTGTCAGCTTAGATTGTGTCATTGGCGTTACAAAAGGATGTTCACAGGTGCTTCATTGCCTCGGTCGGGACAGCTTAGTGCCAGACATTAACTGGAAGTGTTGAGACTAGTTCTAATCTTCCAAATAACCGGCAAACCAGCTTTTGGCCTTTTCCACCACACCTCATGTTCTAACGCCAGTTATTTCGTCATAGAGCACATTACTTGATATATTCGATTTCCCTTGGGTAAATTGGCTTCCCCCATATCGTTTACCAATAATGCACTTCAGTTTATCATGATTCAGGATTAAAACTGGAGTTAGCTATGCTGACTTGGCCGACATGATTTGTGTTGTTTATGAACAAGTGACATGTGGGCAGGTGGTAACGGAATTTTATCACCTTAAATGTTTCCCTGAATGTGCCATAAAATCCCGACTAAAAGCTGGAAACCGAACGAGGGATAAGTGTTTGTGAAATTTTGGTAACCAAATTGAGTAGGGGATTCTTTCTATCGTCAACAGAAATTAAGGCCATAAAATACTAGTCTAAGTGACTAGGCTTGGGCACAGTCATTTCAAAATTTTGGACTGCAAGACATAATATCGAATAATTCATTTAATGTACCCAAAACATGCTATCTATATAGGAACTCGTGTACTGTTAAGTGAATTAGCTTCAACATAATTGAACTCTTTTATTTAGCGAGATAATGACGACGATTTCAAACTAACTTAAACACGAAATGAGCGTCACTTTTGAGGATATCGACTTAAATAACACAATAACTTTATTTGTGAAGATGGCTGATGCGGCGAAATGTGGGCTTTTAGTGACTCAAATAATACTTAGTCACAAATTTAAAGTTAAAAGATTCGCTGTACCAGTCTGTACAGTCGCCGTTTCTCGTGTGAGTTAGCCGCACAACAGCTTGCCCCTAAAAGTCGTTGAACAAGGTTGTTCAGAGTTAGTCCCAACGTTTAAATCGCGTTCAGTTCTTGGATAAACAAGTTACCAAGATACTGGTTGATGGTGCTCATTCGGGTAGCCAACTGACACACAGGCGGAATTGACATCTTTCGCCAGAATGGCTTTGTCGTTTACAAACCTGTCGTACAACAATTTATCCGCACTTTCAGAGGTCCTTCAGGGGATGTCTTTCTACGAAAGCCAGACGTCTTACACATATACAGATGCTGACCTTCCACAATTTGTAACCAGTGAGATTCAAGAGAAGAAAGAGGGTGAGTCGCCAGCAGATCAAAACCACCTTGGGGGAGATGACCAATCGGAGTGTGGCCTTGACTTGGTGGACACAGCTTCGATGCTCGACAAAACGAACTCGGGCTTAGACGATGGCAGCGGCAGTCCCAACTCAAACGACATGCCGACGACGACTGCGTCGACGGAGAATCAGGTGGAGGGTGGGAACAGTCTGCTGACCAAGAGGCGAGGACCACGAACCACCATCAAAGCCAAACAGCTGGACACACTGAAAGAGGCCTTCGCGACCACTCCAAAGCCCACGAGACACATCCGGGAACGACTAGCTCAGGAAACTGGCCTGTCAATGCGTGTTATTCAGGTAAACCTGGTTGAGATGATGTTCTGTTTTGATGACCTCAGATATGTCTGGTAGATGGTGATTAGCACATCTCCTGTCAAAGTTTATTAAAAATACCAACGTTTTCTTTTGATTAGGCATTTTTGTGATAGTGTGGTTTTGTACAGACGCCTTTAACTAACTTTACCTCAACTGATACGTTTATTTTGTCGTTAACGTTAAAGGTGGCGGAAATTCTAAAGTATTTGGGGTGATGAATGTTCTGAAATTCGTCTGACGCACTTTATGCAGGGACTCTATCAGAAAAGACTCCACGAGCATCGACATAAACAATCCTCACATTCCATACTCAAGAGCCTGTGTGTTTACTTTGAAACCAAATTCATTCCTCGTTTTTGCAATGCCTACTTCGATTTATGTTTCGGAATATGGCAACTTAACAGTAAATGCCTTGACATCATTGGCTGATGGCATTTCAGAGAAATTATTGGGAACTGACATGAGTCCCTTTGACGTCGATTTAGCTAACCACTTACCCTCCGGCCAGTAATTAACCGGCGCTTAATTATTCCTGTCAATTCGGTGTGCTCAGTACAGGTAAATATCATGGACCAGCACCGATCCTATTAATAGACCAGTGATAGTTTGCTAGTTTGATGCTTGAAGACTGATTCAATAGTCAAGCCTGCCCTAGACGTGATTTACGTTAACTGGTCTTTGAATAATCTCATTTCCTAAGTACCCTCTGCGTCCGATCACTGATAACTTCCCAAAATTATAGATTTGTCCTTCGTTGTCAACTCCTTCAATTGAAAGACAAAATCGCCACGTTAAACATAGCACGGTAGCTTCACTCCCTCATCGGCCATGAATATTTGTCACACGATCACGTCTAGACAGCTTGGTGTCACGTGAGCTATTCTGGTTCTTCCCGTCCACGCATATCGCTGGTCAACGTGGCTCAAGGCCATCAGTTTGTAACCTTTTATTCGAAACTCTTGCAATTTTACTAACGTAATATCCTTTTATATTTGTTTGTACTTAATAAACTAGCGTCTATGCTTACAAAATGGGATGATGCATGTGGGTGTGTACGATCTGCACCTCAGTCTTTGAGACACGCTGGCCAGACGACCTTGCCACACAATCACCGCCTAATCACACACTGGTAGTCTGATACACGTGTTCTTTTTTATCAACAAATCCAGTTTCGACTGGGTGTATGATGTGGAGGCACGCAAACAACACCCACTGACGTGAACAAAGTTGACATTAAAGTACACCGGCACGACTGCACTTAATGAGCCACTTCCTAAAAATGCACTCCATCTGTTCCAATACGATCAAGTCCATTTTCGTTTGGGTTGTAGATCAAGTGACAGTTTGGTCATGGCCGGATGGCCAGCGCTTGTGATTAGTGTCATAAAGGAGTTTTAAAATAAACGAAGACTGCCGTTTGATGGAAAAAGCAATGCCTGTGAAGGATTACTAGGAGCTTAAAGCTGACAGTTAAAATTAGAGCAATTTTGCCACTGTTTACCCTTCAAAATACACTTCCACTTCCTACACATTAACTGCTTTCAACTAAAAAGTGATAATTAGTGAGTTTGCATCCCGACATTGGCATAATCTCTGTGTGAAAGAAGGCGAGTTGATTGTGGGGAAATAATTTCCTGCAAATACGTGAAAATCTGAACTTATAATTCAATTTTGGAGTTTTTAGTGGCCTTGGAAATGTGAATCCAACATGAGGCTATTCAGCCGAAACTGCGCTATGCAATTAAAAATAATTGATACTGAAATTAATCCCGAGAAAGCATTTAACTATTCTATAGATAATAACTCGTAAAGATACTCTTCGTTGTATTTGATTTCGAGTACGTGCATAAATCCCTTTTGGGGAAATCATGGTTTAACTTTGACAGGCTACCGGCTTGTGGAATTTCCCAATATTAATTTGAAAATGAAACACGAACTGCTCAATACCACAAAATCCTGCATTTCAACAATCCAGTATTTCACTCAGACGCTCACTCAAACTTGTGACTGAGCGGAAACGAAGACGCCTGTGAGATTCCAGTTTAACTTCCTGCAGTATCCCAGTAAAGCTGCTGGGAGACACGAAGCTCTCCCCATCAGGCCCGGAAACCACTTTCCCCCCAGGCATCCACCCCACCTCGCCTTTGAGATTGGTAGATCAACACAGCCCAGTTGTCGAATATGCAAATGAGCTGTGAGCACGGGGTGTTAGCGTGTTTCCCTCTTGTGCCGCAACGGTAAACGGGAAATTAAACTGGGGTTTAACACGGCCACGGTACACTTCAGAGGAAGGCAGATGTGACGCCATTTTTCCCATGGCATAGACACTCTGGGGATTCAAAGAAATCCTAGATCAGATTCACGCTCAAAATTTTCTACTTTTATGAAGAACCCCTAATCAACCGGTAATCCAATTGAACTCATCCTATGTGAAATTTTGACCTGATAGTTGACTTCTCGAAGAGGAACCGGCCTAGAAATAACAATCACAACCATAATTTGAAATAAACCTAACAAAAGATTGAGTTTAAACTAGGACCATTTGGTCAGTAGGTAAAATCTCCTCCAATGCACTTACATCCAACCTGATTGCTGGCAGCCCGGTTTTGTTAGGAGTCCCCGTACCCTGTCACAAAAACTAATCCCTTGTCACTTCCCGAGTGTCAGCCTCTCTCCACACTGGCTACGTTCCTTGTAAGGTTTGGGTCTGGTTAGTACTGTTATCAGTTGGCCGTGCTATGACCACTTTGATCTGTGTTGTGGATCATTTTGGCAGGTTTGAACGGCTACTGCTACTCGGAATCGACTTTCCAACTTGGCTACCTAGAATAGTCTACACCCTATAGGTGCCAAATGACATGTCTCAGTGACTAAAGAACAGTCCAGAGCAATTCATTGACACGGTCGAGCTTCAGGCTGTGATTTGTGCAAGCAGGAGAAAAGAATTTGACTCTTTTTGTGCGAAAAGAATGCCACTTATGCATTATTATTTGTTAAGGGGCACGATTCAAGAAACATGTGGACACTATCGAACACGGGAACTTTGACAGGACTCAAGTTGTCTTCGTATGTGTTTTGCGAAATTGGCAACAAGTCTAGTCCACATCCAACGGCTCTTGCCCAATTTCACTTTCCGTGACTCCAAACTAAGCACCGCAGTGGCTATTTGCGTCGTTCCAGAGCGGTCAACATATCTTGAACACATCAAAATGCAATCTTGTGGCAATTTCTTTGGTTGTGAACATCCACAATGCTGGATGATT